GTATTATGAATATAAGAAATGTGGCAATAATTATTTTGTAATTAAAATTTACAAATGTGATTGTTTAGGAAGGAAGAAAGGTAAAACAGAAGATAAATAAGAAAATATAAGATTAATCAAAAAATAAGAAGATAATGCGTGTTTATAACATAAAACTCATGTTTATTACATTGTTTTTGATTAGTCAATGAGTTACTCGTGTTTTTGCATGGCAAAAATAACGGCATTATTCGAATTATTACATTTCCAACAGTTAGACCATGCTATCTGAAGTGTTGACATTTTGAATAGTGAGCGAGTAGTATAACATAATGTGACTTTATACATAATTATTTTATAGATAGAAATACAAAAACCAAAGCTAATACAATTTTTAACCACGTCTGGCCTAACGTGCCACGGCAAAGGCGTGCAACCAGATTTATTTCGAGAGGCTTAATTAATACCAAAGCTTTTGTGCATACTGCTGAAGTAATTAAGTCTGCTTCGATGGCCCAAATAGAATATGGTACTTACGAGACATTAAGTCCGATGACGTAAGAATAATCAGGTCAGAATGGTCAAAGGCAAACGAATATGCACGAGGCAATTTGGAAGACCTTTTGTTAATGATTCTGATAAAAATATTAATTATTTGCGTCATGTCGGTTTTACCGGCGTACGTTCATGTTTATAGTATGGGACAGTTAAATTTATTGAAAACATTCGATTCGCGTATACCTGTAACTAGCTTTTCGGACGCTACTACTGTAAAAGTGGGTAACTTGGGACATGTGCGCTACTCGGGGCAAAAATGCCGAACACATCAAGGCCAAGGGGGTCGCTTATCATGTGATTAAAAACCACATGACAATCGAAGACCACAAAGACTGTCTATTTCATGGTACTAATGGAAAAGACCCCGACAGTTTCAAACCTTATCGGACGATGAATTCCGGTCGTATAAGCATGATATCATGATAATAAGAGCATCTCTACCGTTAAGCTGGCACTAAATAGAAATGATAACAAGCGAGTTGTATTGCTTGACCGCATACATAATCTACCTTATGGTCATTATAAAGTAGAGTATGTAATAATATCGTTAGTGAGTACTTACAATATACTAATAAAAACAATTTTTTTGCTTACAGTGAGGTGGCCGCGAAGGAGCTATAAAATTAAGGTTTAATATTAATGTTATTTTATTATTATTTTTATTGACCCTTTTTAATTTTTTTATTGTAACATATATACACTTCCCACTCTCCGACTTGCGCAGGGGAACCCTTCCCTTTTTTTGTTGTATGTTGTAAGTATATGATTAATACCCATTTAAATATAATCTTGACCATCATTATCATTTATTATTTTTTGTTATGTTACATATATTCACACCACACTCTTTGGTTTGTAAAAATAATTATGTAGGAGAGAATGGGGGAATGACGGTCAGTGGGTAATACCGGTCAGTAGCAAATCTCTTTAAATATGATAGCTAAAATTTAGATAAGCACATAATTTGGTAGTAGATCATCTACCAAAGATATTTTAAAGAAAATAAAGCTTAAGTACTTTTAATTTTTATTTAAGCAACATGATAAACGTTTTTATTTAGTAGAATTATTATTTTGACTGGTTTATATGGAATTTATTTCTTGAGTACTCGTGAAAAAATAGTTATGTCAACATTTTGGACAAAATGAATATCGATAAATTGAGAAAAAAAAAATAATCGTTTGTGCCTTATAGTTTAATTTAAAGCGTAGTATTTAGTAATAATAAGTAATAGTAATAGTAATAATAATAAAATATTGTGTGTTGAGTTAAGTCAGTATTTTTGTTATTTTAGTTTAGGTATTTTGTGATAATTTGGCAAATCTTTCTAAACAGTTTTATTAATGTCTAATGGGTTATTTTATTAAATAGTTTATTTTGTTGCATTTCAAAAATTGTTTTACTTTCCTTTTTTCCAAAAAATCCTTTTTTTATCAAGGTACCCGAGTCAATTGATCTTCTCATATCCAATAAAAATGTTTCTTTTAATTGCACAGCCCAACAACTAACCATCTTTGTATTTGTATAATAATGCATGTCATATGTGACTAGGTTTAAACTTAAGGGGCCTGAACGTTGCTATTTATTTATGGGCAAAATAAAGGCAATTTCTAAGCTTGTCGTCGCCGCCGTAGATTTTTTGTGTTAGTATTGTGTGTAAATGGTTGTTAGTGTGAGTGCGGTATGATCTGTGTACCACTACCTTCCGCTCCCTCGTAGCAGGTAATGCCGTCTCATTGCGGCATTGTTATCATACTATTATTTATGGGTTTATTTTACTATACCTATTACTACTGTTATTATTGAATTACCTGCAGTATGAAATTATTTTTGACTATATTTTCAATATTGTGAAAACTCTTTTAAAGTTTTTAAAAATGGTCCAAACCAAAAAAAAAACCGTGTCAGTCTATAGAAAGCGTAAAGGTGGAAAAAAGGCTAAGTAAGATCTAAAATATTCAAAAAGTACATTTGTGTAATGTGTTCATAGTCAATATAATTTCTTTGAATATCAATTAGGAAGCGTTCAATAATACCGCCTAGTGTTGCTTCTGCTACTCCTAACGAGTGCATACCAAATGGAGAAGGATCAAAGTAAGTATTATTGTTAGACGTTCCTAAAAATACACAAATGAATAGATTTAAATATGTGAACTATTATATATTTTACAAATGATGTAAATTATTGTAATAGATTTACTATACATGGCCGTCGCGTGATTGATGTCAGCTATGTGTTTGGGAAATGTGTTTAGGCGAATTTAATTTTCTGGCGTGTACTCCTGATGGGTTAATAGGATAAGAGGACTTGGTAGAAATAAAGTGTCCCCACAGCGCTAAGGACATGACAATCCGCGAAATGTGTTGACCAAAAAAAAATTAAATGTATGGTGTACAATAATATTGGCGAGTTTCAGCTAAAAAGAACGAATATTTATTATTACCAGGTTCAGGGTCAGCTGCACGTGGCAGATAAACAAAATTGTTATTTTGTAGTGTGGACACCCAAAGGTTCAGCATATGAATATTATTTCATAGTCACACCTAATCGTAAATTAAAACTTTTCGAGGATTTGAATCGATTTGATAAATCGGGATTTGCACACATTATGAAATAAGGATTAAAAAACGAATTCTAATGTATTTACAATAATAGTCGAATAACGATTGGGTGTGAACTACATGACTACATGTCACTCTTACATAAAATTAAAAATTGTATTTTTATTTTAGATTATGTTTGTAGAAAAAATTAAACGCGATGACGACTTTTGGAACGCAACTTAATACATTTATACAAAAATCATTTGTTGGTTGAAATAGTACAGCCCAAAATTATATGCTAGGACTTTTTTTTGTACGTTTATACTTTTATTATTTATACTAGGACTTGAATTTATTTATAAAACATATATAACACGAATTATTTGACTTGTGATAACGTATTTACTAAATTAAATACACTATATTGTATTTGCATAAATGCGTGGAGCGATCTAATACGAATAACGAAAAATGGTACATGTTATTCGTAAATTAAATATAAGAAAATTTAATGACGGCGAACAGTGTATTCGAAAATAATACCTATTACGATATATTGTTCAACGAGCATGCGTTTTCACATAATAGGAGTGATTTATAGACGATAGTATAATACACCGTTCGACAAGGGATCGGCTGTTCGTGCATGGTGCGGTGCGGGCTACAGGGGTAACTACGCACGCGCAACTGGTGCGCACAAGTCAACATCACGACCGGACATAAAAATTTAACGCGTCCTAAAAGCATGCTTTACAAAAAAAACTCTCACGCCTCGTAGAGTAGTCCGTAACTTTTCTACAGGGTGCATTGGACTTCGATTTTTGATTACGTTACTGAAAACCAAGAAAGAAAAAATAGTGTAACACTTGTGCAAATTGGACATATTAAAACTTACATTATCCAGGTTAGGCAGTTACTACACGATGACTGTTTACCCTATGTGTTTAGCGTTCTTCTCCCGGCTACTGGGGTAAAAGGCTGAATCGACATATCGATCGCGAGCCGACTACTCGCGTGAGAGTCATTTATTTTGCATTTGTCAGATACCAATTAGAATATGCATCCCTTATTTGGTCATCTAATAACATCGCGGTAAATCATAATCTCGAAACTGTTCAGAATCGTTTTCTTCGTTTTTTAGCTTTTAAATTTAAAGTCGAAAGACCACGACATTCAGATTATAATGGATTATTATCCTATTTGATATTTCAACATAAAATCGTTAAATACAAGAAAAAGTAATCTTCATTATTCATTTTTATTAAAACTATTAAATATTTGTGAATTTAACAAAATTTAACGAATTTTAGTAATTATTTAAAAGTGTAAACATTTTAAAATCAAAATAGAAGAAAAGGGGGTTTAAAAATACTGTTAATGGACCTTTATTTTATACAGCCGACTTAATAATATATCTCCATGATGCCAATTCATCTTTCAATTATTCACTGAACAATTTTTGTTTTTTTTTTTCAGAACGCCGAAAAATTTGAGTAATGCTAATTATGCCTGTACTCGAATTGCATCCAAATGTAGTTATTTGAGAGGGTACCCTCAAGTCACACATATCACTTACAGTTTTTTAGAAATATTCACTATTAGACTACATGCACGAGTATTCTACTCATTCTAAAAATCAATTGTGTTATAATATTTATCAACGGAACCCGTTGATAAATTGGAGGGTCGATGAATACTAGCATTTCACACAGGATGGATTAATAAACGGCAATAATTGTCAGGACGACGAGTCAAAAACTGAAAAAAGAAATAGAAGAAAAAAAGAATAAATTAATCGAACAATTTTCTAAACAAGTAAAAGAGTTCCTATTTGAAACGTCGTAAACTAGTACGTATAATAATAATCATAGTAAAAACAACACCTTCTCTTAGCTACTGATCAAATCAAAAATTATGTATTATAGGTCCGACTAATACAGAAATAATTATTTTTATTAACAATAAATCTAACTCAACACTATCACAGTTTTGCAGTATACCTCTAGAAAAAAATAGTTCACTATAAGTAATATACCTAACTTACTTTTCTCACCAACTCTTCAAATACCATATGAACACCTTCTTTAGTTTTTGCACTAGTTTCGATAAATAATGTTTGATGACGTTTAGCGAACGCAATACTTTCATCTCGGGACACTTGTCTTTCCTAGAATGTCATGTATAATATGTATAATACAACAACAGAAATGTATAATACTACTATAAAAAGTTGATCGCCGAAATATTAAATTAACTAAGGGGCATTTAGGATCTAAATAACTATGCTATTAGATGAAAAAAAAGAGTTTTATGTCGTTAATTTATCAGCGACGGATTTTGTTTTGTATGCGTTTATTGTTTTTATTCTAAGCAGTGTTTTTACAAACACAGCAAAAACCTTTTTTGGCTCTCTCGAAATCTATGAAAGTACATCTTTTTTTTTAGTCTTTATTGCCTCATAATTATCAAAATTGGTAATTACAATACTTTATTAAATATACAAATAACCTGATCGATTTTATTTCCAACAACCATTTTAATGATGTTGGGTTTAGTTGTATATTTATTTAGCTCATTGATCCAATTTTCTAAACAAGTAAAAGAGTTCCTATTTGAAACGTCGTAAACTAGTACAGCTCCTTGGCCATCACTATAGTAATTTCGTGTCAATGTACGAAAACGTTCTTGCCCAGCTGTGTCCTTAAATAACCAAACGGTAAAAATGATATGGTTATTCTCACATTCGAACCTGTACCTTACCCATAGAGCCAATTTAATATTGTTATTGTCAACTGTAATTTTTTTCATTTTAAAATCAACACCAATAGTGACCGCATTGTCTACATTAAACGTATCATCTGTAAATCTGCATAGTAAACTAAAAAAAAACATTTAAATACTTATAAAACTTAATATAGGTAACGACATTTAATGGGCCTCTCACTAGCATTTATTAAGGTGCATTGTATAGGCTATTTTACACTTTAATTTTTAAACATACATATTTCCATAGGAAAGATGTATCTATTTTGATAATTAATTGATTTTTCAACTTTTATAACCCATATAGGATCTACATTAGTACAAAAACATATGTAAAAATAATAATTGTATTCCTAGTATAGTATATAATGGTACCTCCACACCCGCGTATTTTTGGTCGAAAACAACTCATTCTACTTCAAACGTTCTGTTTATTTTAACTTACTCTTAAGTTAAAATAAAAATTATTAAAAATTGAACTAGATTTTAAAGAGAAAACCCACTGTGTTATGTTAAAAAATAAAAAACATAACAAAGAAATAGAAGAAAAAAAGAATTAATTAATCGAACACGCCGGAAAATTATGATTACAATTAATAAACAACTAATATTAATTAAACTATAAACACTTTTATTAATTTGGTCATTCTTCTTATTTATATACATTTTTTATTTCACATTATAAATATATAGAAAATTATAAAATCTGTATCGAATAAAAAATCCCAATTAAAAACTAAAATTTCTTATATTTTGTTCATGTGTAAGGCTTATAACACTGTGAGCTGATAAGAGAAAAATAGCTTATCAGTCAATATATTTATAAACCAATAAGAACGTCACCCGTTATGGTGCCATTTTTTATTTTGCGTCTGAAAATGTTAGGAAGAGGGGGTAGATATGCAATAATCTGGTATATTTAAAACATGGTTAGTAGTATTTCACTAATGAGTTTAAATAGTAACACATTAAGTTGGAATATTAAATAATTACCAAGTTCAATATTATCTTACTATTTTGGTGATAATTATTTGTTGATCAAGAAAAATTTAACGTTCAGTAAAGATAATTACTAAAAATTCGTGATTCTCCGATCCCACAAATGTTAGCTTTATTATTATTTTAATTTATATTAAAAATGTACGATTATTCGTTAAAATAATTTTTAAATTTAATTATTATTTCCATACCTATTATTCAACCTAATCTCCCAGGATTGAACCTGGGCATTTTTATTAAAATAACAAGTTGTTTGAAATTATTTCTTGGACACCTATCTGTCCTACAAAATATAGTAGCCTAATGGCTAACCTAACCAACCAGTTGACTGAAAACAACAACGGTTAGGTTAGTTAGGTTAGGATTATAGATTTTTCTATGTTTGTTTAACTAATTGTAAAATAAGCTTACCTAAAAATATAATGCTCAGGATGATTACAATATTCGTGCACCGATGGTAATCTTAATTAAATAATTGTCGGTTACAGCAGCGAACAAAGTCAATCTAACTCATTTGCGACAAGAACATGCGACTATGGCAAAAAACACTAACAGTTTAAACAGTTCAGTTATGTGCGCTCTAATCGGCCGGACCGGATAAATACAGAAAAAGCGATAACAGCGTAAATAATGGTTTTAGGTTTTCTTTTCGTTTTAGCTGTAACTGTCCATTTTATTTGACGTTTTACAATTATTGCTCTATCCTTAAATGTTCTTCAGGCGGATAACTACTTCAAAAACATTTGTGAATTTAACAAAATTTAACGAATTTTAGTAATTATTTAAAAGTGAAAACATTTATAAATACAAATAGAAGAAGAAAAGGGGGTTTAAAATACTGTTAATGGACCTTTATTTTATACAGCCGACTAAATAAAATATCTCCATCGCTCAAGTCGCTTATATGCTGTTGTTTGTAGTCAACGGGTAATAAATCAATTTACATTATATTGTTAATTACGATTTAAGGGTAACTACTATAAAATCGAGATAAAATAAATGTTTGTGTATTTTTTTTTTAAAGAGACTTATAAAAAACATTTTTTAAAGACCTATGTGATTTAGTACATGTTTTGCGATGACTCGTTCTGTGCCGGATTGCCCTGCACCGACGTGGCGTCCGGTGTTCAGACAATGGGAAATACGACGCTATAGAAATCACAATAAAGATTATTATAGCTTATGCACACTGCTCAATTTGTATTAATTGTCCCGGTCTGGAAACGAGGTCAAACGGATATACCAACAAAGGGAACCCGTTGATAAATTGAACGGTCGATGAATACTAGCGTTTCTCGCAGATGGCTTAATAAACGGCAATAATTGTCAGGACGACTATGCCTGTCAAACAATTATTACTAGAGGGGTCGGCTGAGGTTTGTGTCACACACCAGCTCTGGCAATCGTCATTCGATCACGAAGGCTTTACTCGTTCGGTCGCGAATTTCTTTTGCACATTTTTAGTGAATTTCCTATCATAAAAACTGTTTCGTTTGTGTGTATTCGACAACGTCACCATGTTCAAAATCTATATTGTCTTATCGGTTGCACTGCTATCGCTTTGGTTGGACATTGGTACCGCCACGGGCGGATCTGGGCTTCAACACGAATATACTCACGGCGACCATATTAGTGCCGTGCTATCAGCAATCGTTGTCAATTTTACCACCGTCGATAACAACCAATACGTCCAATTTACATTGTTAGTAGAAGGCGTAGGTCTCACGAAAGATGTAATGGTGCGTACGACTTCAGCTTTTAAGGGGCGTGGATCATTATGCTTCACAGATCAACAATATAAGTATGCCGACTCCGAGAGAAACTCGTTTGAAATAGTAAGTCCGACATTTATGTTTTCAATACTTCAAATATGAATAATATCGACATTTTTTAAATACCATCGTACCCGTGGAGCATTACTTTTAACAAAACAATTCCAGTTATTTTAATACTGATATATTCTGTTCGTTCATAAGATATAAAAACGTATCAAAATTATTTTTAGTCAGTAGTTTCGTTAGGTCTAGTTTAGATGACAGTTGTATTGATAAAATACGTTGGTATTACGCTTTAAACACTCGGTCGTACTGTTAAACGTAAAAAATGCTGTGCTTGTGCGTTACGTTTTTTTTTCATTATGAATTTCGATAGATTGAGTTATGATTCAACATGTAGTTAAAAAAAAAAAAATCTAAAATTTATTCTAAAAAGTCGTTAAAAGTCAAAAACATTTTTTATAATTCATATTATATTATGTAGCATTATAGTTGACGTCTTATTGTAACAAAAGATAATATAACATTTGTATATGATATTAGGTCCTCGTATCTCGTCAGTTGCCTTCGCCCTATCCTTTATAAATATACATATATATATATATATATATATATTATATATATATATATATATATGTATGTATATATGAATATTAATTGTAATACCCTTAATGATTTTTAGTTACAAGCTAACGGTACACAAATGTATTTAACCAACAAGTTGAAGATCGATGAAAATGTCGTGGAAGGAAAGTTGTTCCTGTGCCTTAACGGACCACGGGTATCGACCAGAAATTCGTCACATGATCGTTGGGTACATCAGGGTGATTTTGGTTGGATCGTCTGGCCTGTACCACCGATGTATCTGTTTCCTAGATATGTATACGAAGTGTGAGTATGTTATAGATAAACTTTACATATCGTTAGTAGTATTTCACTAATGAGTGAAATAGTAACGCATTAAGTTACTTAAGGAATATTAAATAATTACCAAGTTCAAATAATATCTTTCTGTTTCGGTGATAATTATTTGTTGATCAAGAAAAATTTAACTTTCTGTAAAGATAATTGCGAAAAATCCGTGACTCTCCGATCCCACAATGCTGGCTATTTTATTATTTCAATTTATATTGAAAATTGACGATTATTATTTAAGACAATTTTTTATTTTTATTTTTCATTTCCATACCTGTTATTCAACCTAATCCCCTAGGATTGAACCTGAGCAATTTTTATTTAAATAACAAGTTGTTTGAAATTATTACTTGAACATTGTATTTGTTAATATAATGCTCAGGTTCGATTACAATATTCGTGCACCGATGGTAATCACTAATCTTGATTAAATAATTGTCGGTTTACAGCACCGAACCTGCAAGTGAATCCAACTCATTTGAGACAACAACAAGCGACTATGGAAAAAAATACAAACATCGCGGTAACAAGTTACATTTTTTAAATGACACGGCTTGGTCCTATACAAAAATGAACCGGACGAACACTTTAGTCACCGCTAATGGCCTCAGGTGCGAATTCCTCGTCAAAGCCGTTAAAAAGGTATACTTTTTTTTACGCTCGAGTCTCGTTCAGTCCAACATCAGAAAACTATCAGATTCTATAAATTAACTCATATTTGTTTTTTACAATCACCCTTTTTTCAGCCAAACGTATTGGACGACTACAGCAAGTCGGAACCCTCAAACCATCAGCGTGAAACAGTTTATTTATGTGAGCACTAGTCGGGCCGGAGCGGATAAATACAGAAAAAGCGATAATAGATGTAAGTAATGGTTTTAGGTTTTCTTTTCGTTTTAGCTGTAACTGTCCATTTTATTTGACGTTTTACAATTATTGCCCTATCCTTAAGTATTCTTCAGGCTACTGCTTTAACTACTTCAAAAATATAAGTGAATTAAAAAAAAAAATTTACGAATTTTAGTAATTATTTAAAAGTGTAAGCATTTTAAAATCATAAGAGAAGAAGAAAAGGGGGTTTAAAAATACTGTTTGTGGACCTTTATTTTATACAGCCGACTAAATAATATATCTCCATGATCCAACTTCATCTTTCAATTATTCACTGAACAATTTTTGTTTTTTTTTCAGAACGCCGAAAAAATTGATTAATGCTAATTATGCCTGTACTCGAATTGCACCCAAATTTAGTTGTTTGAGAGGGTACCTCAAGTCGCACATATCACCTACAGTTTTTCTAGAAATTATGTTCACTATTAAACTATATGCACGAGTATTTTGCACTCATTCTAAAAATCCATTTTATTATAATTTTATCGAATTATAAATATAAAGTTATATACTTATTCGTGTTATGTCAAAAATATATATTGAGTAAAAATAATATGTCTTATACTTGTATTTAATTAACTAATCTAATTATAATAGAAAATTATAAAAAAGATTCACATTAAATATGTTTAAAGATTGCAACATTCACATGGATACTATAACAATTGAGACAAATTGTTTGTAAAGACGATCCAGGTGATTTAAACCAAATATTTACTTCTTTTACATGTTTATCAATAGATAACATTAAGTAGGTGTTATTGTTTTTAAATTAATCAGGTAAGGATAAACAGAACATGTTTTGAAACAATCGTCATTAAATATTTCAAACAGGTTCTGTATTTAATATAAAAGTATTCGGTATTAGGTTTCTAAAATAATATTTACAAACGATATTGAAATTTACTCAATCTGTGTTAGCTTTACAAGTAGATCAATGTACAATAAAAATGTTTTGCATACAATTAAATTGTAAACATCAGTTTAGTATTTACGAAAAAAAAAAATTCAAAATTATCAACTTTTCAGGAGGATTATCTAAACATTCACAAGTTCCATTATAAATTGCATAATAGATGCACACAAAATATTTGTAAATAATGCATTATGCAATATTCAACAAGGATACTATAACAAGAAGATCATCTTATATATATTTATAAAAATGACATGCAAACTTGCCCGATATATTTTGGTTTTATATATTAAACATTAAGGACCGAACCCTACACGACTTAAAAATTCCTGATCAAGCTACCCAATTCTATAAAAACTTCCACAACACATTCAATCACCAAAATTCACTAATATCTAAATTATCTTTCCTCACTCTCCCTGACAACCCCCGATGCCGCCTTAAGCGTAAATGGCCCAGAGATCTTCTCAACCCAAAAGTAAATATATAAATATAAAATAAAAACCACATCACACGCTAGTTTAATAAAACATTAACTTACACATCTGAAGTAGTGTTAATGAACGCCCCCTTTGATCAAGTCGACCAGTTTTGTAAATAATTTAGCCCTAAATTTTACTTATTGTAAATATAAATACAGATTGTAAATATTTAAAAAAAAAAAAAAAAAAATGGTCGAACCAAAATGATCATTTTTTTAAAAAATTTCGTTTCTGTTTTTTTTTCTTGTACTTGTTTTCTAGCATTCTTCAGTTTTTTAGAAATTATATTCACTACTAAACTACACGCACAATTATTCTACTCGTTCTAAAAATCAATTGTATTATAATTTTATATAATTCTACATATAATAATATTTTACCAATTAGTTGCAGAATAGCAGTCTAAATACTGTTTAGTCTAAAAATACTGTCCTAACAGTCTGGAACCAATTTTTAATTTAAATGTTAACAACTTCTAAAAACTGAACGTTGACAGTGCTTAACCAAGGACTAATTTTTTAATTGTTAACTCTTAACATCATACTGAGCTAGTTACTACATCCATTAATTACAATTACTCTGTCGATCTTCTTGAACACACAAATCTTGCAAACCTATGCTATAGGTTACCAATGAAATTGGTCCTGGTAACAAACAACTTTTAAATATTACATAATGACTTCATAAAGTTTATTCTAATATGTGTACTCCGGTATAATTATCGTTTAAAACAGCAAATGGTGAAATATACGGTTTACTAAATTACAAAGCCGACAATAGTTTTTAACTCTTGGCTACCGACAACCTTTATGAATGCTCGTTTTTTTACATTTAAGGTTTAATATATAAATTTATTTCCATTTCAACATATTATGCAAGTCAGCTCGGTTGACACGCATTGACCAAATACGTGTATCGTATTTGTTATACATTATAATACGTGACATTTGGTGATGTCATATTTCTTATTACCTTTAACACGGACAAGACTATACGAGTACACCATTTCATGTCCGGTATGTTAAAATTGTACAAGTCATAATATAAGGTTTTTTATTATATTTGTACGAATAGTATACCGTATTTTCACCACAAACGCATCGGTTTAACGAAAAAGATGTAATAGCATAAAAGCTTTCTTTTCGACAAAGACCAGTGTTTTTTTGTTTTTATTAAGTAAACGAATCGTGTCCACACCAAAGTCACCGGTCTATCGGGACTCAAAAAACGTACAATACGAAATACTAGCCGGCGTCTGCACTCGCAACCAATCGATACGTACGATTGAATTGAAGCAAAAATATTGAGTACAAATTTGTAATACCTAGTTTTTTAATTATACAAAATTATTAACTACGAAGCACGAGCAGCAAAGTATCCGAAATGCAAAATGAAAGAAAATAGTGATAAGCGACTGGGATAGGGACGCCGATTGTTATCTAGCTAGGTTAGGTCGAACACGGTTATAAAAGATAACACGGTAACTGATATGCCGTACACACACAGTTTATTAAAATATTATAGGATTTTCTTGTGAACAAAATATTAGAGCTCATAACAAAAAACAAATTAATAAACACATTCAATCGAATAGTATGTAGTTTTCACATTTCCTTCGATAAAATACATTTTTAAGTAGTAAGAGTATTACAAAATGCGATGCTGTAAATATTTTATACAGCAACATGTACAATATAAAATACAGTATGTATATACAGTATGTGTATTGTTAATTAAATAAAAAATTAGTTATAAAAATACTTTTAACGAAACAATATAACATAGTTTATTTTTAGTATCTGACGATTTTTTAAGGTTTTTAAAACACTCAATTACGGTAGTTAAAAAAAAACCAAAAATTTACAACCCAATCCCAACTGTGTGACACTAATAGTGTAGGTATCTCTACTCGAGGACAGTGAAAGAATGTTGAGTACTTCATTAGGTGTGACTGTTATATTTTTGTGTACTGTTAGGGCCCTAGGGGGGGATACAACCCACGTATACCCCCTCCCGTAAGTACACCACTGGTTTTCAGTTATATGACCATTAAGACAATTACAATTTTAGTCTAAATAAAAATAAAATTAAAAAAACATACTCCGTGTACCCTTTAAATGAATAATTTCCAAACGATCACGCAATGTTTGCGGAATAGATGTCACTTTTAAATAAATATACATAGTTTTATTAATCGTTTGATGCCCAGTTTTCTTATAAAATTTTTACTGTTGATAATTTTTAAAAACAATCTACACTTTTTTCCACACAAGTAAAACAACTTGACGCGGTCGCACCGCGACCCCAGCCGGTGGCGGATGCTAACTACATTCGTCACCGCTGGGTGGCGACCGCATCTCTTACCTTAGTCCGTCAGGTCGCGGGTCGGCAGCGCGAACCGGTCGCCGCCGCCAGCTGACCACTACTTCCTATGTGGATACCGTTTCGACGATACATTTTGTTAAAAAAACCATATGTTTATTTTGTTCAAATACATTTATCCGTAATAACTGAACACCAGTGTACCCTTTATTTCAACCCCCATCTATCTCGACCACAACAAACTATACTGTTTCTCTAAACTAATAATAATCAATTAATTTTTCTAACAGCGATAGAGTGTAATATTCTTTGTTTCAAATTGCACATACGAGGGAGGAAGTAGGGATTGTCTGGTCCCTGGCAGCGACGGCGGTGGTGCCATTAGACGTGATCGAGGACGTAGGCATTACAGTCGGCCTAACCCGTGCACAGCCGCCTTTAATGGAGCCACATTTAACAGCCAGGTGGTTGTGTACTCTGGGCCGTTGATAAGGCCTTCGTCCTCGTCGCGGCGCAACCGTCGAGGTATCCGGAAAACCCCACGTAGTAAACATAAGTGACATTTATAAATATTAGAAACATTTTCTTTTCTACATTTAATTTGATTGATGTTTTAGGCTGTTACCAGTGTGGGGTCGATGGCCACCTCGCCAGGAACTGCTCGGCATCAGGTCCGTTGGCAACTCATTCTGGCAGTCCTACACCAAGTCCTGCTGGGGTGTCTCAGGTATTGATGTCACCATCGCCGTCACTGAACGATCAGTCGGAGTGGACGATTGTTTCAGAGCGACGACGGAGACAGCAACATCTGGGACACCGAATGGGTCGACAACGGACTTGACGACCATTGTGACCCATTTGGATATTAACAATCAGACGAGAAATCCAGATGGGGCAGACAATCCACAACAGGAAGTCTAGACGGAGGACAGTGATCAAAATTATTTGTCTTTAAGGCAAGATAAAGTTATGTGCAGGATAATTTAATAATACAATTTCTTTTAAAAACCATTGAAACCTCATTATTTTTC